AGCTAAATTTTGACATCAAAAGCAGAAACTGTTCATGTTATATAAAGCCCAAAATTCAGCTTTTAAATCATTGAAATCACTTATCCAGTTTTTATAGAATTTATAAAATTGATCCTTTAATAAAGTCTATATCATTTTTTAGTTCTTAGACCTTATTATCTAAATCATCTTTTAATCCTTAGACTTTTTCATCTATTGAAGTCATTTCTTATTTGAGTGTCATTATTTCAATTTTACTTTAACCATCATTAAGGTTAAGCTGTTTATTATTTTAAAGCATGAAATCTTAAATGGCTCCTGGAATTTTTTGCAGCTGATTTTGATAATTTTATTGCTAAGAGTTAAGATTGTTTAAGATTTCCATTTTAGATTTAGTGACAGATGTTCTTATGGTATACTTAAGGTCCTTGATAAAGCCTTGCCACTCTCCTTATTACAATGTAATTGGGGAACAATACCTTATTTTCTAATTCTTTTTATGAGAATAGCTATTCTCTTTCCACAATCATATTTGCTTTAACCTTATAAGATTCTGCTACGAGCTTCTACATTACTCTTTCATAAGACTCTGATATGACAGCAATTATGAAGTTCATAAATACAATATTCAATGTCAATACAGCAAAAATCCAAATGATCCAAGAAAATATGACTATTACATCAGTCTAATTCTAATAGTCGTCAAGATAGAAATCTCCTGAAGAAATTCTAAATGCAATCAAGAAATACGCCAACTTGTTAACTCCATTATACTCATCAATTGGCTATGCTTTAAATAAAACCAAGAATATCATTCCAAATTATAAGATAATTATTAGAAAGAAGCCAATGAAGTACTTGAGATCTTTGAATACTCCTGCCATCATTTGGACTAAGAAGCTGAAGCCATCGTAAATTCTCAAAAAGTAAAATAGCTTCATAAATGAAAGAATTATAACCAGAACCTTAATTAAGATAAGGTCATTTTAGTCTTCCATTATGAATTCTAATATACAAAGTGCAGCAAATGATATCATTAGAGAAAAATCAAAATAATTCCAGCCGTCGTTAAAATATGCTAATTTTTGAATCAGCAACTGCCTCACCTCGAGAACAAAAAAGTAGAGTAAAACTAATGAACATACTATCTTTGTTATGATCCTTAACCATATATTTGGTTATGATTCTGCAATTTGTTTTTCTTAATTTTCAGATGTCTCGGTTATCTTTTAGAATGCATAAGTGGTATAGAATATATCTAGGACAAACGAAGCCATGAAAATCAGGTAAATATAGAATTTCTACTGATAAAATGCCTTCGTATTCTCATTCCATTTGAATTTAATTATAGTTTGGATTATCTTGTTTTCAAAGTATTCTGGTTTATCGGTTTCACTCAAAACTTTCATTAGCTCTCTTGGATTACTCTGTATTGTCTTTGGCAAGTTTACCAAGTAATATTCAATTGAGACCAATGCATCTTCACCATCAATAGTCTTTTAATTCTCTAGCTTGTCACTATATAATTCCTCATACTTTGTATGAATATCTTTAGGATGGTTCAAATTGATTCCAGTAATTAATTCTTTGTCATTTTTGTGCTAATTTGGGAATGCTTTGTCTATTATTTGATAATAAGGCATTGTGCTATCAAAGTATTCACTCAAATCAATATCTTGTTTTATGAGTTCACATAGATTCTTATCAATAATTTAGTTGTACATTAAATGCTCTTGATATTTGAGAATAATTTCAAGGATTAAATTGATTATTTTTTGCTACCGATTTTTAATTGAGAATTCTAGTGGTGTACCCTAGCCTAACATTGTGGGACAAATTAGTATAGGTAAAGTAGTTTTTTCCATTAATGACAGCTATTTAGTAATTTGTTCTAATACCACTAAGTTATTTTGGAAAATGTTAAAACAATTACCATAGCCTGAAATAAACTTTAAATACATACTGAGATTTTTTTATAGCTACTTAATAACTTCATCGTTACTCATTTTGCTGATAAATCTATATTTATCAATCAAGTTATCTGAAATTTCAATATCAAAGAAACCAGCCATTGTCTGTTCCCCTTAGATATAAAGTTTCACAAGACTTGAATCTATTTATATTTTTTAAGAATTTTCAAAGTATAAGGAGAGGTGTAAGGGGTTATTGAGATAGAGTTAATTATTCATATATTCAATGCAATTCTGCATCATGGTATAAAGTTCACATTTTCCATCACCATGACTTTTTCTTAGAAGGTAATATGCATTTTTATTAATAAAGGTTTAGTAGCATCTCTAGACTTCCAGACCCTCGGGAATATTTATCAAGAGTATTTTATGAACTTAAAGGTGCTTTAGAAAGAAAATCAAAGTTTGATTTCTTAATCCAAGTTAAATATATCCTTGCCCTATAAATGTAGATTATATTGAATTTTTTGAAGAGAATTCATATTCAGATATTTCTCTGATGCTTTTCTTGGTCTCTAAATTTAGTGCGAAGATCTTGTTTAGATAAAAAATAACTAGAATTCCTTATAAATCATCAAAGTAAGCTTTATGTGGATTACCTTCAGGTAATTCATCTTAGAATTCCAAAGCTTTATACTCTTGAGTCATTTTATTGTAATAGATGACCTTATTTTTTGAAATTATTTGCAATACATATATTTTTTCATATTAGCTATCAGACATAAGGCAAATAGGTCCATTTTTTTCGAAGTCATCTTGTGAAAACTATCTGAAAGTATTCCATTCAATTATCCTATTGTTGTTCAGAGTGATATATGTCTCATTTTCGATTTAGATAAGAATATCGTGCGGCTAAATTTCAATAATAATTTGGTATGAGACAAACGAAGGGGACTTAATTTTCTCAATAAAGTTTTTATCATCTTGAAAATCTTCATTTATCAAGACATTATTTAGACAATTGTTTAAGTATTCTAAGGTTATTTCTCTAATGTTGCCAGTTTTAATGTCTTGAGCTAAGATAATATTCTTGTTTTTTGTCTCATAGAAATACACATTTTTTGTTTAGTTTATGCAGTCATTGATTTATAATGGTTAACCCTGGTAAATGGAAGGAATCATGTCATGATTTCCAGAATAATATTAATTTTATTGTGTGAGTTCACGTTAAGATAGCAAATTTTGAAGTATTATGATGGCATAAAATAAGCCCTGCTATTAAACGTATCTATTTCGAGTTTTTCATATCTGAAGTTGATCTCATTAATGAGTGAATATGTTCTAGAATCATATATATTTAGCCTCTAATTTTTTCCATTCTACGAATGCTAGATATAGAACTTGTTGTAACTTGCATCTACTTTTTATATATTTGCACTAGCTTAAGACAGTTAGACAACCTATTTCATTGCCATTTACTAATCTAGCATGTAAAGATTAAAGTTATCATCTATTATAAATTCATATTAGTCATTGTATTTTACTATATGATAAATCTTTTCTAGTTTTAGTGATTAGTTGAATTAGACTAGGTCCAAGAATATAGTTTTTGACTCTTGGTAAATTAAGTAGTGATTCATTATTGATTATTTGCTAAAAATATTTAAGGATTCTGGTCCTTCATACTCAATCTAATATAAACTTTGTTATAATCCTTTAACAATATTTACACTTGGCAAGAGTCCACTCCCATATAAGCTATTCTTCTATGAATCATAATCAAAAATTTATTTAAAATTCTGATTATTTTTGTTAAATATACTTTAATGGAGCTTGTAAACCATTAAAGTAAGTTATTTCTAAGTACTACATTTTATGGCAACACTGAATTCATTCAGTATAGCTACATTTATGATTGTTTAACCGCTTATGTTGATTCTAAGTAAGTACTTTTCATCTCTATCATACATATTATCTAATTCAACTAAATACAAACAATGGTATTTCAATGTTCTGAGTAAAAAATGTAATCAACCTCATTATAACGTTCGTAAAAAACATTCTAATCAGAATCTTCTAATTCAAAACTTTTAAGAATCTCATTTGTTATCATATCAATTAAATCTAGAATAGAAGTGTTATTTTCCTAATGCTTCTAGAGTACAAGCATCTAGTTTCTAGAAAAAATGAACTGTATATTTCTAATTTGATAATTTTATTTTTCAATACTGCAAGTAAGTGAGACATATCTACTTTCCAACTAATTATAATCAAGCTCTGGCTAATTATCAAAAATCCATTGGTAATCTCGAGGTATTGGCTCTTCACTTTTATTTTGCTAGCTATTAGAGTTAGACTCGTACATCTCCATTAACAATGGTTCAATATTATCTCTTCTATCTTTATCAAGCATATCTATCTCAGCTTTGTAATCTTCAATAAAATTATTTAATAAGATAGGTGATCGTTAATTCAAAGAATAAGAATCTATAGTAATGATATTTTATTATATAGTGCAAAATTAAAAGCTAATCCTTTCAATTCAATCAATTTAAATTTCTCATAAATCTCAGAACTAAACTTACCTCTTAAATTTTTGGGGTTTTGGGGTTTTGGGG